GATAGCCAATCGAAGTCGTTTGATCTTGGTGGCGGGAGATCGTTGGTGGTAGATGAGAGTGATGTGGAGTTGATTTTGGGGTTTCCACGTGGTCGTATTGACATGGTTCAGCGGGATAGACGTAAGATTAGCGACACTTTGAAACACTGGAGGGGGTTATTTGAGAAGTCCATTTATAGGGTTACCCCTTCGGAGATTAGTGTTAGGATGGTTGGTGCGGTAGATGGTGGCGTTTGGTTTAAGCGCCATTTTCTTATGTTGGTGCTCTGCACATGGGTTTCTTGTATGTGTAGCGGCTATGCAAAACAGATGTATTGGCATCATTTTGACGATGTGTCTAGCGTGCGTGACTTAAATTGGTGCAAGCTGGTGGTCGACACGTTGGTTGAGACGCAGTCTGCCTGGCGTTCGGGTCGGCATAAGTTCTGTATTGGGCCGGCTGAGTTTGTTACGGTATTCTTGGTGTAATTTTTTTGTTTGGTGATTTCTGTTTTGTTCTTTCCCACTAGGTCACTACAATTAATTTTGTCATTATTTTTGGTTCTTTTTTCAGTTGTTTTATGTGAATCGTGTTGTGCATGGTGCGCGCTCTATCCCCCGGTGTATTCCTGGTCTGCGTGGTTGGTCTTCACGTCTACTTCATGAACGGGAATTTTCTGAGATTCGAGGTGGCGGGTTTGGCCTTGGTATGATTGAGCCACCCATGAGGGTTGTCACGGGGTGGACGAAGGTGTTCATCCATCTTCAGATGTAGTTGATTATGGGCCAAAGGTATGGGTTTTGTTGGTAGGCATTCATTTATGGTTGGTTATGTTCTAGGGGTGCACACGGGCAAGTGGTGTTTGTGTGTGTCTTTATGGTTGGGTTTTATTTAATGTGTCATTCTCTTTTGTTGGGTTAGACATTCGCAGATGTTGTGTTAGAAAGATCAAGGTTGTTTTCAAGAGAAATTTTAGAGTTGGCAAAGCAGGGTCCCGTTGGTGCTTTTGATAGCGGGGTGCTTCGACAGGTGTTTGAGGTTGTAAAGGCTGTTGGAGAGGTGCGTTCTGATGAGCAGCCCGTTGATTTTAATGATATTCCATCCTTTAGTCTAGGTAATACGCAAGATTTTCCTGATCGTGGGGGGGCTGATATTGGGGATGTGGTTCGTGGTTTGACTCCGGCCAATACTGGTCGTCCTTTTTCTGGTGTTGAGGTCAGTTTTGTTGGGTTACTTGTGTGCGTTCACATTGTTTCTGGTTTTGTTGGGTTATAACTCATTACTTTTTTTCACTCTATTCCTTTTTGCTAGGGTGGTCCGATCCAAGAACATGGTGATGATTGCATGGGTGGTGCTTTAGGTGCTCCGGGTACTGATGTGGCTCTTCCTAATGGGGGTCGGGATTGCGCGGGTTCGGGGGGTTGTGGCCCACAGTATGTGGAGGGACATACGCATGGTGATGGCAATTCCATTGTGTGTGATATTGGGTCTGAGGGTCCTTGCCCGGGGCGTTCGTAGTTACCTGCGCATGTTGATGCGCCGTTATCTACGCCGATTGAGCCTGGTTTGGTATGTTTGTGTATAGAGGAATGGGATTTGATGTGGTATTAAAGGATGGATTTGATGTGGGCATTTTTTTCATTGGTTTTTTTTCCATAATTCGGGTGTTTTGTTATTTTTTTTTATAGTAGGTGTGCTGGGATTTATGCGTGGGTGGTTTTATTAAGTGGCAATTGTATGTTCATTTGAAGAGTTGGGTAGTTGTGTGGTTTGTTATTTAGTAATGTTTTTTATGTTTGCTTGGATGTGTATAAATGGATGCACTTGCAGGAATTTTTGTGTGCTCCATTTAAGTGGGTGGCATTTTGTAGTTTGAATTCTAGACTTGGGTGTTGGTGTTGTCACTTCTCATGGTTAGCTATCTACTCATAGTTTGGTGTGATGGAATTGGTTTGATGTGTGTGTGTGGATGTGTATAAATGGTTGCACTTGCTAGAACTTATGGGTGCGTAGTTTAGGTAAGTGGCATTTTGTAATTTAAATTCGGGACTTGGTTGTTGATGCTCACACTTCTTTCTGTGCAGCAATCTGTTCGTGGGGGGGAGCCTAGCCGGTGTCAGTCTGACGGGCGTATTTGTCAAGCCCCTTTCAAACGGCCTAGGGGTGTTACTATCCCGCCGGATGCTTTGCCTTTGCAGTTGTCGCATCTGGATCTTGGGTTGCCACCTTTAGACAATCCAAAGGACTCGGTTATTTGCAACTGGTTGTTGTGTGCAGCTGAGGGGGACATGTTAGTTTCGGGAACCATTTGTTAATAGACATATTGTGTTGGTTATGTGTGTTTGATTGGTGTTTTTTTTTTATTTTTTATTTTTTATTTTTTTTTATTTACTTTTGTGTAGGGAGGAGATTTTGGTTGATGTGGGTGGTAGTGTGGCGCGGTGGGCGGATTTGATGTCTTTGGCACCCGGGTCTTTGGTTGAGGTTGGTGTTGTAGACGCATGGGCGTGTCTGTTAAATTGTCGGGAGCGGTATAAGGAACCGAATGCCCCTTCTCGTTTTTTTGCCTCCACTCTTTCCACGGCTGGTAATTGCATCTTTTTGTGCATGGTAGTTTGACACGTTTAGGTTTTTTTTTTTTTTTGTGCTAATTTTACTCCTTTTGAAGCTTCATACTGTCGTGGATACCTCCCTTGATCGGGATAAGCGGTTTGCGTTGTTCATAGATAGGCTGCATGAGGAGTTTCAGGCGATGCCATATCGTTACATTTCTGACGTTGATTTGGTATGAATTCTTTTGTTTTACATGGCTTCTAGACTACTTGTCCATCATATTTTGTGTGCATAGGGACTGAGTTTTGTGTGCATGCAGGTTGTGCTAGTTTGTTTGCTTGTAGTCATTTTGGTTTTAAGGTGGTGCGTCGGTGTTTTTTTGCAGTTTATGTTCCCCATTCTGCGTCAGAGACATTACTTCCTTATATGCGTTGATTTTTGAAAATTCCGGTGTGAGATAATTGACAATTCGACTATTCAGCCTAATACGAAGCTGAAATATGGGGTTTGCCCAGAGGATTTGGTATGTTATATATTTCGCACAGTCTGGTACTTTTTACCTCTTTGCGCTTTTCGATTTTTGATGTCTGCAATCTGTGGGTGCCTTATAGTTGGGCATGCTAATGGAATTCTTTACCACTATTCATCCGGGGAGGTCTACGATGTGTGCGTGTTTGGAGCCAAAGCATATGCAGGTGAGTTGGCGTGATGGCAAGAATACGGTTGACTGCGGGGTCTATGTCATGCGTCATATAGAGTCTTACATGGGGCAGGGAGTGGCCAGATGGAGGTGTGGGCTTAGCAAAGGTAACGGTGCTCAGCTCAAGAAGTTAAGGTTACGCTACATGAAGGAAATCGTAACATCAGAGTTCAATTTACTAAAGTCTAGGAATGTTGTTCGGGCGTATAAGTTTGTGTCATTGATCCCGTAGGTCCGGGGTGGGGTTTGTGTCTTTGGTTTAATTGATATTAGTTCGTAGTTTTTGCCGTGGTATGCGTACCTTTTTGGGGTTTTTATGTAGCTACCATTGTTACTGTGTATGGGGGATTAAGAAGGTATTTAGTTTGTTGGGTTCTCATTCTTTTTGCAAAGTAAGGGCTGCACCTCATGGGGTTTCTTTTGACGTTTGTTTATTCGCAGTTGGTTGTTTGTTTATTAGTGTCAAAATTATGTTATTAATTGCTTCTTGTTTAATTAAATTTTGGTATCTCATTTGCTGTTGGGTTGCGGCGCTGTGTGTGTTTGGATGCACAGTGTTTTAACTTGGGGTGCATAGGTTAATGAATTATGCATGGTTCTCTATTCATCTAAATTACACAGAAGGCAGTAGGTCTATATTATCTAATGTGCGTGTACAACTATTTAATTATCAAGTCATGGATAAAAAAATGGGATAAAATTAAACTCAACCGTTTAGTTTACTATTAGCTTATAGGGTATATTAATTAAAAACACGTGTGCGCAATGGCGGTTCTAAGTGGGCATGTCTGTTCGTAATACATTGGGTTTCGTGGGTAAAGTTCAAAACAGTCCATTTAAATTTAATTGTATACGGTTATTGTTAAATATGTGGGTGCACCTTGGCGTTAATTAGTGTGCGTTCGCAATGGATTACATGTCAAAAATGTGTTGTGAGTTTAATAAATTTCTCGGTAATGAGTGTTTTGTTGTTTACTTACAGGCTTACTAATAGAACTGGTGGGTGCACGGTGGTGGGAGACCAGGTGCATAGTGGAACAAATTAACTAGTTGACTAGTAGCGTGTATGATTAGTGCACAACTATTTAATTTTAAAGCCATGTGTGAAAATGGTATGAAATTAAACTCACCTAAGTAGTTTACTATTAGCTTGTAGGGTTTACTAATTAAAAACACGTGTGCGCAGTGGCGGTTCTAAGTGGGCATGTCTGTTCGTAATACATTCGGTTTCGTGGGTAAAGTTAAAAACAGTCCATTTAAATTTAATTGTATACGGTTATTGTTAAATATGTGGGTGCACCTTGGCGTTAATTAGTGTGCGTTCGCAATGGGTTACATGTCAAAAATGTGTTGTGTGTTTAATAAAGTTATCCGTAGTGAGTGTTTTGCTGTTAACTTATAGGCTTACTAATAGAACTGGTGGGTGCACAGTGGTGGGAGACCGGGTGCGTAGTGGAACAAATTATCTAGTTGACTAGTAGTGTGTAGGCTTAGTGCACAACTATTTAATTTTAAAGCCGTGTGTGAAAATGGTATGAAATTAAACTATGTGTACACGTTGATGGTACACAGTATGCATAGTTGAGCAAATTAAGTAGTTGACTATTACACTGTAGGCTTAAAAATAAAAACTGTGTGCACATTGGTGGTGGTCAGTATGCATAGCTGAACAAACGAACTAGTGATGGATAAAATTCTAAAATTTGACAAGTATCTAATTCAACTTTAAATTGTGCTAGAATTCGTAGTATTTTAAACCACGGGAGGCTACTCGTCTGATATGTCTTTTCTTTCTGGACAATTCCGGTTGTCGTGGCCCGGTTGGTCGCAAGTAGCACATGTCCTCACCTTTTTCTTCGTTCTTTCCATTTCTTTCTCTTTATTGCTCTTTAATCGTTTCCCGCTGCCCCTGTTTTTGGCAACATTGGGTGGCTTGATTTGGATCTCGGTAGGTGCAGTAGCGTTGACTATTGATTCAATCACTGATTGGTGGCTGGTGCTTTGGTTGGCTTGTTGCTTAGCACTCTTTAACTTCCCGTTTAGTTGCTGCATTGTTGTCAACATTAGAGCCATATCATTTTCACTTCCATTAGCCAATCCTAAGAAGTTGTAGAATTCATTCCAGAGTTGGTTCGCATTTGATTTGAGTTCGTTCCCCCCTTGCGTATTAGGGCTGCCTTTCAACACAATATCATACATTGGCCGTGCACATGCGTCTCTTGTCCTTCGGGGAACAATATAGTGTCCTGGTATTTCTTCGATGCCTTCGTCCTTGAAAATTGCTAGCACATGCTTGCATAAGATTCCTACTCTGTTCAATTTGTTGCAACTGCATTCTGTTTTGTGGGTAGATTCTTGGTGTGTTACATCGTACAGTTTCGCACCTGTTTCGTGTACAACGTACCTCCGGTTTCCGTCCTCAAGTGTCTTGTTGGTGATTTTGCATGTGAAACTTCCGGCCCATATTTCTTTTTGGAACTCGTAGAATATGTTAATGGTGTACAGTGCCGCTGCTTGGCGTTCCGTGCCCAACGGGGTTTTCGGTTCAGGGGTTGAACCTTCACAATCTGTATTCAACTTTGCATGGTTATGCCTCTGTTCTTCTATGGCGCGGTTGTATTGCATTATAAACTCGACTAGGCTGCAGTGGTGATTTCTGAATTTGCTGAAATAACTGTTCTTCGATTCTGAACGTGATGTTGTTTTTAGTAGTCCTCCCATGAGTATATCTTGGAAATATGCAGGTATCCACGATGCACGTGCCTCGTACAATTGGTTAAACCACCTGTGCTCAACAAGGTTGTAATCTTGCATTACCTTTGCCCATTTCAATTCAAATTCGGTGGCACTTAAGGTTTCATCCCATACTGCATTGTTTAGGGCCTTTTTAAACTCGACGTTCTTTGCCAATGCAGGTCCTGCCTTGTCCCCGACTTTTGACATGATGTTCCACATACAGAACCGGTGTCTCGTTTCTGGCGTAATGTTGGGTATTGTGACCTTTAGTGCTGGATCTTGATCTGTAATAGTACATCTTGGTGTACACCCCATCGCGGTTTTGAAGATTTTTAATAACCACTCATACGACTCCACATCTTCTCTTGCACTGAGGCCCGCCCCAAATGTGATGCTTCGTTTATGGTTGTCCACTCCTGTGAACGGTACAAATACAAGCTTGTATCTGCATGGTTTATATTGTTTCTCAGTTAGTGCACAGACATATAATAGTAAGACTGGCCTCCTTTTTTTTTGGCCGCCCGACGTGTAGATTCTATTGCAAAACTGCATGCATGATGTCTTGCACTCACGAATACACAGGGGTTCACACACCACATCACAGTGTAATTAACCATTTATTCGATCGCTGCAATGACCAGGGCTGGTGATTGGATCTCATGGTTTATATTGTGCATACAGTGTTTAGCAGTTGTGCACGCATGTGTATTTGAGTACTAAAACGTGCTGGATAACAATTTCATTAAATTAAACTACTTTAATTGGAGTCATATATACCTGTTCGTGCTGTACGTAGCGTCGAATGACATCACGTCGCCAAAACATGCAAAATTCTTCCGTGATATTGCGTCAGCCCAAAACAACCTGCATAGTTGTCTATCTTCGTTTAGATCAAAATCGAAGTAGAAGTCTGGGTTGGCCTCTTTATTTTTGTACATGTCTTCTACCACCATTTGTGCATCTTCTCCAGCAATATACGCCAACAAATCCCTTCTGAAGTTGCAGAAATCCGTGGATGTTGCCCCTATATCAGTAAAACTTCCCACCATTTCTTTGTATAGTCTCCAAGATTTGGTAGAACCAATGTTTGCCCTTGCACAGTTTACTCGGAATATTTTGTGTCCAATATCCAGCTTCCTATTTATTTTCAAAAGGGTCTCCCAATGTCTGAGCATAGGCAGTGTGTGTGCCATAACTCCACTGCATGGACCGTATAATTGCCGGTCTTACACCTTGTTATCACAATTCGGGCCTTACAACCAACTCTTTTTGACACCCGCTTTCTTTTCTTTGGTTGTGTGGGGTTCACCATATCGTTGACTCTGTTACTGCCCTTCTTGGGGGGCTTGAATCCTTCCCGTGAGCATAACATGTATTTTATGTGAACTTTCCCTTCCCTATTCATACGCATCGTTCCTTTTCTGATATCAAAACCGACAGTAATTGCGTATGCCAGGTAGAAGGGTAGTCCGTCTTCTAGTGTTGCAAACTGTTGCCCTTCATACAGGGTGCATTCACTTTTGCAGGTGGGTAACCACCGTTTCGTTCCATCGGGTAATATGATCATTTCGCAATCTGTTGCTTCTTCTTCAGTATGCTCTTTGCCTATTAATCAAAGGTGTGTTCCGTAAATATTAGAAGCATTTTTTGGCACTGGTAGCGTTATTAGAATTGCGTATAATATAAACGATAGAATCTGTGGGTGCATGCATGTTCAAACTATGGTACGGTGTGTGCATTTGAGACTAATAACGGGTGCACTCTATGAACACAAAGCTACAGCCCCTTCCATCACCCCCCTGTAATCAATCCATGATTTCTAGTACATTCAGGGTTAAATTATTGATGCAATTCCATCACATCTGCTACGAGTACATACAGGGTTAAATTATTTACTACTTGTGACTCCCAAAGTTTTATTCCAGTGCATCCAACTGTTGTTTTCACTGACGAATCGATATGTACAGTAATAGGGGTTCAACTATATGGTGTACTTACTTGGATTGGTGTCATCCATGGAGTCCAAGTTGGCATCATAATTTCGTAGGTCTTCGTCGGCCATGGGGTCTCCTCGCGCGTCCATGGAGTCTGTTTCTCACGTCGATGGGTGCACGGGGGATCGGTTCCGGTTGGGTGGTGTGTTTGTCGGTGCGGATTGACTATTGCATTCCTTGTGGTATTTGAATTCCTTAATTATAGGGTGGCATACGGTTTAGAAGTCGATTCAGATTAGGAGGTGTGTGTGCATTGTCACTATTACCCTTATTAATAATAATTAGTAGTCTGCGTCTCCCATCATAGGCTACATCTCATCCATTCATCTTATCGCATCCTATGGCTAGTTCTTGTCCACACGTTTGTATTTTAAGGGTGTTTGCATTAGAATGGCTCCCTATATATATATATATATATATATATATATATATATATATATATGTGTGTGTGTGTGTGTGTGTGTGTGTGTGTGTGTGTGTGTGTGTGTGTGTGTGTGTGTGTGTGTATTCAAATGTGGACAAGTATATTATAGAGGACTGTGAGGACAGATGTAGTGTGTGCCATTAGTCGGTATGTCGTGTGCATGGCCGAATGTAGTCCTGTGCCCCAGTTTGTATGTCGTGCTCTAGATTTGTTAATTTATAGAGCGTGAGTTCGAAACCTGATGTTTACATTTATTATTGTGTGTCATTATGTATTAAGTTGTGTGCCTAGTATTAATTTGTGATTTGCCCATTATTTGTCCTCACAGTCCTCTATATATTGTTGTCCTTATTTGAACTCATAATATTTCGTGTAATGTTAATTAATTTTTTCTTATATATATATATATATATATATATATATATATATATATATTGTGTGTGTGTGTGTATGCGTTATAGTACCATATAAAGAATACACGTTAATTAAAAAAAAGGTAACCTTTAATACCAAATTCATTAATTACTCTATATTCATAATTTTCCTGTATAATTTTAATGAATTTTTGGATATATATATATATTACATAATACCATACATACATACATACATACATACATACATACATACATACATACATACATACATACATACATACATACATACATATATATATATATATATATATATATATATTTGTGTGTGTGTGTGTGTGCGCGCATTATAGTACCATATAAAGAATACACGTTAATTAAAAAAAAGGTAACCTTTAATACCAAATTCATTAATTACTCTATATTCATAATTTTCCCGTGTAATTTTAATGATTTTTTGGATATATATATATATATATATATATATATATATATATTACATAATACCATATAAGGAATACACGTTAATTATTCCTTAATTCAAAAAATGTACACGTTAATAATACTTCCATAATTAATTAGTCTATATTAACATAATAATATTTCCATAATTAATCAGTCTATATTAATAATATTCTGTGTAATATTAATTAATTTTTTGTTATATATACATTACGTAATACCATATAAGGAATACACGTTAATTCAAAAAAGGTAAACGTTAATACCTAATTCATTAATTAGTTTATATTTGTAATATTTCGTCTAATGTTAATTAATTTTTGGTTATATATTACATAATACTATATAGAGAATACACGTTAATTATTCCTAATTCAAAAATATGAAGCATCAAGTCATCAAAGGATGAGATGGACGAGATGGAAGAAGACTTGTTAAAGCACACTTGATACTTGGTGATCTATAGTTTGATTCCCATTGAGAGCATTTTGGTGTAAAAAGGCTTAGACAATCTATGGTGAAGTGCTATCTTGAAGAAATGGTTTTTATAATATAATAGTAGATAATATCGGATGATGACATCACTACTATCGGATGATTACGTCATAACGTGGTATGGTTCTACAAACCCACGTGAAGAGATAAGACAAAAGAATTTAAGTCTTGAGATGTGTCAAATGGTTAACTAGCCGAGTTGGAAAAAGCTTTGCAAAGCAAACCAAAGAATACATGAGTCAACTCCTACCTGAAGTAATTTTTATGAAGGCATGATATCAAGATCATGATACCTAACATGATACTACTTCATGATATAAGGTGGACATGATATACTATCATCCATGACATCATCATGTTATAATTAGACAGAATGTTTCTTTTGAAGAAGCTGATACACAAGCAAGAATCAGCAGATAAATTATTTGAGCAAGTTAGCAAATCAGATCAATAATTCAACAAAAGTCATGCCAGAGAAATTCAAATTTGGAGGCTACCCATTCCAAAGAAAAGCTTTGTCAGATTAAAGAAGAAAAACGGCAAAATTATTCAAATCTTCTGACAGACGGCGAAATGACTTTGCAGACCAAGTTGGCACAATTATTTGATCAACTACAATTCAAAATGGACGATCCAGATCGAAAGTTGATCAACGGGCAAATAGCTTTCATTGGCTATAAAATTCCCAAGCAGACTTGAAGACAAGTACGGCTGGAAAATTAAGATATTCAAGCAAAAGAAAAGCAAGCAATATTCAAATCAGCCAAGAAGCAATATATGGAGCTATACACGATTAAATTCAAGTCTGAGTGAGAGAAAATATTATCTCTATAGTAAATCTTCTACTGATTGTAGAAAAGGGGTAGAGTAACTGGAGAGAGTGAAAAACCCAGTTGGAGTGTAGCTTTGTGCGTAGCACTCGGTTGTAAAGGGTAGAGTAACAAGGGGAGCTTGTGAAAACCCAGTGAGAGCGTAGCTTTGTGCGTAGTTCTCGTGGTGTAGGAGTACAGCTTGGTGCGAAGTACTCGGGAAGGCGGAGTAACAAGAGGAGCTTGCGAAAAACCTTGTTGGAGTGTAGCTTTGTGCGAAGCACTCGGAGAAGTGTCGGTGGACACTTATTCACTATTGTATCTCGGTGATCAAAGAATAGTGAATTTCCTCCTTGAAGTGAAAGGAGAAGAGTGGACTAGGAGGATTACACCACCTCTGAACCACTATAAATCTCTCTCTCTATTTACTTAATGCTCAATTATATTTCGTGCATGCTTATATCAACTGTGAACTAACCCATTACGATTTATCGCGTATCTTTATCTGTATGGGTTTGATAGTTCCCTCGTTTGCATGCAAGTGAAATTTTACATACATCATCCTTAATCTATATCAAATGTTTCTAACGTGATGCATGTATAGAATCTCTCTTTGAGCACTACACAATTAAAGCATAACACTGTGTCGTTACATTTCCCCTGTGCACACTCTAAGTTGTTATACTTGTTTATGCTTGTTACTTAGAGTTGAAGTTACCAAAATGTTGCAAGCAAAAGAAGTTGGAAAAGTTAGAGA